CCGCAAGGCGAGGCCGCACACCAGCGGCAAGAGCAGGGCGCCAGACCTCGAATGGAGCCCCCCTTTTACTCGGCGGGCTGTAAGGTGTGGCTGCACACCCCTCGCGTCGGGGCCGGACAGGAAGGGAAGCTAACCACCTACTGGCGCGGACCCTGGACCGTGGGGCGACAGATCTCCCCCTGAACGGTACTGATTCAGGGGGGGGAGAGGGGCCGGGAGATGATAGTCAATGTCCGGCGACTAAAACCATGGAGAACGGCCCCAGCGAGGGAGAACCCCGCCGTTCGGGAACCCCGAAACCCCGGGGTCCCCACACCCCCCATACCCGGGGGCCTCGCACAGTATATGGGCCCCACGGAGCCCCGGGCCCCAGGGGGTCCCGACCCGAGCCAGGAGAGACGGGGACGACGGCCCCTGAACCCTACCGCCCCAGAGTTTGTCTCCCAGCCTGCAGGGACCCAGGACCGGAGAGAACCACTGGAGTGGAGGAGAAGACCGCCACCGGAACCCCGAGAGACGGAGCCACCACCGCCGAGGCCGGCCATGAGAGCCGGACGAGTCCCGCGGACCCCGCGGCGCTACCTTGTAGGGGCAACCCAGACGAGGTGCTCCAGTCAACCCGGGACGGGGACTGGCACCTCGGGGGGCTGTGTGGTGCCGCCGCAGCGGAGCAGCTCCGTCGGGGGCCGTACCCACCACCGTGACACCACCACCGGGGGGTGACAATGCCGATGCGGCGCGCCCTCGCCGCCCCCCCCCCCACCCCCCCCCCCCCCCCCCCCCCCGCACGAACTCACACACCGTGACCTGATATTAAAATTACATGGTCACGGTGCGGACAGTAGAACCACCGCGAATAAAATCACACACACAGCACGGGGCATGGGAATGGCGGTACGCTTTTGTCATAGGTAAAATTAGGGACCCCAATAACAACAGGACAGGAGCGTTCTGAAATCTGAATGGACAAGGCAGCACGGGGTGCAGAAGCATCCAAATGCCTTTTGTTTTAGGTAAGGTCACGGATCCGAATGTGAAAGAGACGAGAATAACTCGGCCTCTGAATGGACAGGGCAGGCACGGGTGCGGAAGAATCTGAATGCCTTTTGTTTTAGATAAGGTCACGGATCCGAATGTAAAAGAGACGAGAATAACTCGGCCTCTGAATGGACAGGGCATGCGCGGGTGTGGAAGCATCTGAATGCCATTTTGGTGGATAAAATACGGAGGCTTAGCGTAGCAAGAGAGTTCTTCTTCCAGTCATCGAGGCCCACGGAGCAGGAGAGTCAGCCGTTCGAGACGTCCGTGTGACGACCTCCAGCGCAGCCGGGCTCAACCCTCTACGGAGACGACCCACAGCCTAGTCCTTCTGCAGCGTTCAGCGCAGCAGAGTGGAAGTAAGTGCGAGTGAGAGGGAAGTGAGTTTGAGTGATTTAATCGAGAGTGGAGAGCGGAGCGACAGGCAGAGTGAATTCAGTCTAGGATCCCAGGGGGAATAGGCTGGCACCCACTGACCCACACAATTACCCGTAGCTTGACGGGTTACTCGCGGTAAATAAAATTACTAGTAGGGGGATAAACTGTGTCGTGTGGTCTTTGGGAGTGTGAAGAGGAGGGTAGAGCGTGCTTGGTGTTCGCGTACCTGTACGATTGTTTACAGTGGTGTTTGGCGCCCGTGTGCCTGCGCGACTGTTTTCAGTGGTGTCCAGCGCTCGCGTACCTGTGCAGTTGCTTACAGTAGTGCTTGGCGCTCGCGTGCCTGTGTGACTGTGTTGCGGTCACGCGCCTGCGCGATTGTCTAATAGCGAGGTAGCGAGCTAGGCGCCTGGCGTGCGCGTGTTCGCGCAGCTGTTTAAACGGCCCTTTAAATCGGGGCGAGGTGACCCCCCTCCATTCAACGGCATGCGCACGGCAGACGCCTCTGGCCTCCCACCCCCGACCCCCCACTGCCTCGCGTGTGATCGGTGCGCGGGGCTCGGCAGGTGGTAGCATCGTGTTTGTTATTGCCCGAGCGCGTGGAGCGCGTGGAGCGTGTGTGTGGGGAAATCACGCGTCGGGGCGCCGCACCAGTTTGTTCACGTGCGGGACAGGGTTTTGCTTTGCGAGCGCGCTCACCACGGCGTGCCGCCCTGGACAGTGTGGCACGTCGTAAGTGTGGAGCAGGCGGCCGCATCCAATTGAAGCATGCCTACACGGGCAGCTGCAGAGTCGGGGGCGCAAGGGGGCGAGGGATTGGGGGTCGGTGGCCCGGACCCCACAGAGCAGCCGGGGGGTGGTGGGACAAATGTAGCAGGGGAGTCGGGAGACAACGGCCCCGACAATTCGGTGATGGCGGGGGATGGTAGCCCCCACATATTTACTTGCTTTTAGATCTGTGTAACCCCGAAATTAAAAAGCTCTCACACAAGCCAATGTGCAGCCAAACTGTTTTTCAAAAAGTAGGCCAAGGCCTCCTATTCGTGGGAAGAGACCTCCACGATGATTGGTCGGGAGGCAGGATTTAAAAAGATTGACGGAAAGATTCAAATGGGAAAAAGCGGGAAACAGTTGAACCCAGAGGCGACAGTTGGGAACCGTTTGAGAAGGATGGGGATTGGCTGCAATAAAAACAGTGAGGGGGAGTTTGAGAAAGAGGGCCCGAGAAGGATAAAAGGGGAGAGCACGAGGAGAGGGGACGTTCGAGGGAAATGACAAACTTCAACACCAACAATGACGCCTGGGCCTAATGTTGTTGCTGTGTCCATAATAAAGAGGCTCCCAGTAGACAGTCGTCAGTATCATTACAACTGGTGTCAAGTGGGTTCAGAATGTCGCTCCCAAGCCACTGAAGATATCCACTTATGACATCCGATGATGAAGATATTACCCTATGCAATGTCCCGGGAGAGGAGGGCCTGGAGACTAACCTCGAGGTTGTGGGAGAGGCGATAACAGTGCTGGCTGAGTGGGAGCTGCAGCAGCCGGAGAGCCTGCCTGCGTAGATGCCGCTGGTGACCTGGGGCTGGGAGCGACTGGAGGGGTGGATCAACCGCCTGAGAGCCGCAGTCCCTCAGCTTATTGTGCAGCTCGCCAGCAAGGAGCAGAGACTGGGAGCAGCAGAGATGGCAGCGGGAATCGCGGGAACCAGCAGCCAGAACTATCCCGCCAATGACAGAGGGAGACGGGAAACCGGCCATGCTCGGAGTAGCCACAGTTGCAACAGCGATGGTCTGGGTACTATTGTGGGACGTGCTTCCTGTGGCATGGGAGAGAGCGGCCCGACAGACCTAGCCGTCTGGGGCCCGTGAAGGAGTTTGTGGTGGCGGGCGGCGACTGGGGAGCCTTCAGGCGATTCAAGGCATTTTACCAAGCCTTGGACTGGACGGAAGAAGAGGCATTGAAGACTCTGCCCACGACCCTGAACAATCGCCATCTTCAGGGCCATACCAGGGGAGTAGAGCTACACTACAGGCAGCCTGTTATAAGATGGCAGAGGTCTTTGACCTGCTATCAAATGCCAAAAATAAAATTTCAACAGCACAGGTGGGAGTAAGCCTCGCCTACCGCATTGCCTTGATGGCGCTCGGCCAAGCAGCATATCCTCAGTTGGGCAAAGCAGCGCTGGACTCATTATTAATGGAGAAAAGCTGACATTGGTCCAGGAGATGGCCGTAGTCCTCCCTATGGTGGAGGAGGCGGCACAGACCTCCATGTGAGTGGCCTGGTGTCTACGGGCTCAGGAGGAAATGAGCCAGTGGACCTGGGTAGTGGCTCGAGTGGAGGAGAGCCCCGACTCTGTCGGCTGTGCCTCCTGCCTGGGCTGCCAGGCGAGGAGTGCTATCGACAGGGGCCTACTCACTGTGGAGGGCGGGAGGCATCCACGAATGGAGGTGATGGCAGTGGTCCTCGAGTGGACCGGGCCCAGCAGGACGATCCTGCAATGACAGCAGCGTTTGCGGACCCTA